TATGATAATGGTGAGAGAGGAGTTATAAGACATGAATCGGGCACAGCCGGTCCAATAAGGGAATGGCAACCCATGGGTGGTTACAAGCTATGCACTGAGAGGGCTATTATCACTTCGGCTGGGAGAGCATTCCGAAGTAGGAAACTCGTGACGAGTAAACGCTGTGCCGTACATGGGTGTTCGCTCTTTGTTGTGTGATTCACTGAAGGTTGCCTTGAGAGACATTACGATGTTGTTCTGGCAATATGCTTGCGTTGGGGTGGCTTGGCGTGCCTAGTATGTTGCAACCCACTATCACATCGCCTACCGTTCTCCGACAGATCAGTGAGAATAATCCCAAGTGTCAGAGTCTATACTCTTAAGGCTGATGTTTCAGCCCAATCACGCACTTAAATGCCCGTCTTTGTACTTAATTTAAGAGACTTGTTATTTGGGACAGAGTTTGATTAGAATACTAGTTGGTAACCTGTGTTCCTCTATCAGGATTAACAGGTGTAACTATGTAAGCAGGTCGTTCAGCTATCAAATGCTATGGGTAGATTGAACGCTCAGGACGTGCCTTTTTCAAACTCGTGTTGGACTTCACGTAAGACGTCGCCTTCATTTATGTGTTCTCTCATTTCTCCATTAAATAGCCCTTTCGTTACCTTCGATAGTACTGGCATCAATGCGACTGATCTGTAGCACACTGTATCTTACCTATCCCTCCCTTTAGAGATTGAAACACACTACCTCATCCCCATTCTCTTGGCAGTTGGCGTGAATCCGTGAGAAGTGGCCTAGAAAGCGTTTCCCACTCGCGAGAACGTGGTCTCTGTGTTCTGTTCAGTGAATTATTGATCAAAATTCATCAACACCAATGTGTGTTTTCTTCAGTGTTTTGCCTTCGTCCTTCAGATCTAAGTCATCTCTCACATCTGTTGTGAATAGTGAGGCTGTTTTTTAGTTTTATCAGGCTTGAATGGCCCTAATTTGGTCCTCTCGGTTTCTTAAATTCACTGCCACCGTGTGCGCTGACCTAATGGTCGTGGGGTGTAACAGACGAGGTATCCTGGACAGTGTGAAGGCTTACGCCATGTTATGGTCAACACTTGCCGCAAACCGCGAGCTTCACCTTGATTAACACTCACCAGCTTCGGTACTCTATGAAACGCCACACTGATTAGTCCTTTGGTGTTTGCCGGTCTTCTAGCGACATCTCTTACAGACCACAGTTTGTTTTTTTCCCACCCTGATTAGAGAGGGTCGCTTAAACGATGGCCACTGAAATGTCGCTTAGATTGTAATGTTATTGGTTCTAACCACATGATCTTCGAAGGTAAACAATGGATCACTGAAAAAATTCATATTCAACAAATAACATGGAGAGAAGGCCAACAATGGCGAACTCAGCAATAATCGATCGGTATGGCATGCTCCAGCCTTGAAGGCGCAGTCATTTCGTGCAACCCATACCCCCACTTTAAATATATCATTTCATCCCCAACCGAAACGATTTTTTTAAAAAGTATAAAACATCATGCTGCTGATTGTTACGACACAACTGGTCACAAAAGACGATGATGTGACTTCCACGTGACGTCCGAAACAGACTTGACGTACGCGATTTCTTGAGGTCATAGCTGACACCAAGTGCTCTGCAAGACTACTTTATAACAACTATAAACTTAAAAAGTTGTACTGCGTAAATACATAGCACTCCCAGAATTGTGACATAATTATGCCGAGATTGAATCTGGCGTGTAACGTGGATGCGATGCCACTTTGGAAATTATTTTGAAGACTGTAATCCGTGTACTACTACGGCATAAACCCAATCATTAACGCGCCAAAACATCTGCACGAATCTACTGTTATTCGCATACTGTCCCTTACTGTTAGCAGATATTGGAATTATTTGAAACAGTCGTTAATTTTATTAGTGTTTAATTTCGAGTAGTGGCTCCCATAGTCACGTATTTGGTAGACCCTGAGTTGGATAAATGGGATTATAGCTATCAGGTTGGTTGTTCTAGTTGTCTATCAGGAGGGTAAGACACAATTCATATAATAGGAAATGGTTAGGTATTCCAGTATAGTAGTAAAAGCGGAAACTTCTGGTTACTGATAAGAGATCGAGGTCATGCCAATATAAAGAAATCGCGTAGCACCTCTCCTACACTTGAGTTCGTTTACGGTTAATTTTACAAAAACCTTCAACTGAATATTTAACAGACAGTGTTATTCAAACCGTAACATTTTGTGTGCACTTGTATTATTATTATTATTAACATGTCTGTATGAACTTGTATGCTTGGTCACACATGACTGCCAAAGCACATATCCCTCAGTCTAGATTAAATGTTAGTTGGTTAAGCCGTTTGATTAATCGTTCGCTTTCCCACCTATATACTTAACTGAATCTTATTAATTGATTAAATTCTCCATTCGAGTTCTATTTAACCGCTTTATTGGCTCGCTCACTACCGTACATTAGCTTTTTTTGCTCCAATTCGCTTGATTTGTCCCTGACTTACCTACCGTTGAGATTTATTTAATAAAAGTTATCAGGGTAATTGATATACAAAGCCCAAGGAATTATCGCAAAACTAATCCGCCACAATAGTTTATGCTGATTCTCTGTGGTTGTCAGGATGACTGAATATCTGTGCACCATAAATATCTAAAATATTTCGAAAAGGAACTCAACCGACCTGAAATTTTAAAACAATTCCTGCTCATTCAAATTTTTACTGTTATTATCCCCTGAGATCATGGGATCTAACTCAATATGTTGGTTTTTCGCGCATATATATTCATAAGTTTACAAGATAGAAAACTAACCTACACATATATTTGCAAGTATCCGATTACTCATCCGATGCAAATCCGCATTAAGTATGGTAGAATTTGCTATGAGGTGAAAGGATAATAATAAATGATATCAAACAATTTATGACATGCCAATCATGAGAAAATTAAGTGGAACACCGTCGTTCGAATGGTAATCAAATAATTAAAACTTGCTTCCGCTTCTGGCAAACTAGCCTTTCCGTAATAAAATAGACAACAAACCGATATGGTTTTCTTTAAGTTACTTGAGTTTGCCTTCCTTCCATTGTCACGTGTGGTTCTTTCCATCAAAAATTAGAATCAGCCCTGCACAAAGTCGTCAATTTCTAGGTCCTCTTCCTCCCCCAAGGATAAGACATTTTGATTCTGGTGCATCTGAAGGGTAAAAGCTATGTCAGATTGCTTCTCTCACTGTCCTGCAGAATTCCGGCGTCCAGATAACTTGCGAAACTTTGATGATCGACGTAGACTTTAATATTAAGTATGACGAGCCCGGCTTCTTCAAACATTTATGGAAACTCAGTTGACATCATATTGACGCTAATAAGCGTTTCAAATTGCATTCGTTTGATGGTGTTTTCAACGTGGCTAGCAAAACTATTTTAGGCTGCTGAATTATAGATCTATGCTATAAGAAGTGTCGTAATTGCTCTTTTGTGTAGACCGCAAACTTGTTCTGTTCATGGCTTTATTGTTAGTATCTTAATACAACTGCATTATCATACTGAACTTTCGGTTGTTGTAGATAACAAATCTTTCACGGTTGAGTGTCGGTTATCGCGTGCCTACTGTCATAAATCAAGACTGTCAAACAATTTGCAATAGCCCAATATAATTTAAAAGGTTGTTAGAACAACGAGTTCGTTCAATGGGATGCCATAAGTCTCAGAATTACGATAATAGAATATTTCACAACGCTTCATCTCATCTGTATTTCAGTAATATTATCATCCTTATCTGTGCAAAAGCAATATTAAACTTAGCTGCTGAGTATTTGAGTTGTATGGCACAGTATTCTCAACATATAAGTAGGTCTGTAATAAGCTACCTCAAGAGATTAATTATCATTTCATTACCTCTGTGAATAGAAATGTCTTCTGCACTTGTGACTTACCGAAATCGTGAAGTACATAAGTTGAAGTGCACTAGCACTGGTTCCTGGCCACGCAAACATTGAAGCTAAACGTACACTAGCAGGGAAGATTGAATTATCCGCTGGACACACGGGTAAGGTCGACTGTAATTGAGGTGAAAACATTTTATTCAGGCGGCATGGATTAGTCACTCAGGCGTGGTCTCTTTGTGTACCCTCGTGCTTTTTATATCTAAAATGTCATTCCATGCCCAATCTAAACGTGTTCTTGGAAGCACCTAATGACGGTCACAATAGAGTGAGCTAGCATGTACAACGATATAACTTCTTTGCAACATCCTGACCTCTAATATCCCGGTTTCTTCCACATTGTAAGCAGTGAACCTTTTCTCTGGAAAGTCTCAAGAGTAAAAGCAGAAACTATAGTTTTCATTGACATCCCTTTAGAAGTGTACGTTAAGTATGAATTCTGCCGTTCTATAACACCATCTATATTATGTACGATAATTACTTGACTTTTTTGACTGTTCGGGATACCAACTTGATTCCAATGATGACTGAATGAATCTTTGGTGAGACCATAATTGATGGACGACCTCTGAGCGACTCTAAAGTGACCTTGAGTATGTACACCTACTAAAAATAAATAAGGGTTACAAACCAGTATGAAGAATGAGAATTATGATTTTCATTTGATGGTTGGGGTTAGAAATGAAATCTAATGTTGTCATCACGAAATGACATCAGCTAAAATGACAAAACGCTGTTTGGCCAAATGAATGAATGAATATCGCACCGAAATCCAAGACCTATTATCTTGTGTCTGATTGGTTTGTCCATAAATAATAGTCTTGCCGGATTTTCTTCTACCGAAATTAACAGTATCCTACGAACTCTCTGGATTCGCTAATTTATGCATGAGGACGATATTTTCGGACTGTTTTCACAATACGTTCACCGTATTACTATGGTTCAGTGGGCGATAAATGTGGATAAATATTAAAAAGCACAAGCTTAATGGTTTTGTTTCTTGATCTTCACATCACAATGACCTTTGCAGCGTAAAGTCTGACTCACTCAAGGTCGTGGGCTTTGACTAGTTGTCATGTTAGACGATTGTAATAGAAAATAAAATAATAAATAGATAACCTCCATTCTGTTATGGTATATATATACATATCAAACGTCTTCATATACTTCCTGTTTGCTATGCAATCCCTCTATTTATTCAGTTGATGCTTCAGTTCATAAGATTGTATGACAAGATTACAATTGCTATCCTAAATCTGATTATTTCGTCCGCAAATATAGTCTCATCAAATAAATATGTAAATTGCTGCGACTTATCAGGTACCATGTTCAACCCAGTATAATTTTATTTCCCTGCTTCGAAAAGCTGTGAAAACGGAATTTTTTGGAGCGTAAGCCAAACCAGTCGAGGAAAGACTTTGGTTGAGCTGTGCTATATCACTAAGTTCGTTTCGGATATGCAAATCATCTCAAGATCACGGTCTATATTTCCATAATAGGGATATTAGCTAATGTGAGAAATGAATATTATTTCTATGTTCTGGGGTTCCATCACCAATCGACTTCAGATATAATCCAAGGACTATAAACTCCATTTTATTGACCCACTTCTTATCATATTATTATCTTTCTGTCTTCTAATTGGTTAAACGGGTAAAATTCTCAAGGTCTTACGACAGCACAGCTTTGTAAAGACTTTATAATTAGACTTCGCGTGCTAAATAATTTCCGTGAATGCTTCCTCTTTGTTCCTGCAGTGACCAGCTAACAGAGGTTTTCTAACCTTTCAACTATGTTTTCCCAATATCCACTCATATAATTGTAACTTTTCCAAGAAGCTACGGTTCGCTTGTTATCTGTGTGAGGATCTAGACAAAATACCCTCCGTGTCCACCGACCCGGTTAAAGCCCAGGACATTCTTTTGTCATCCGCTCATTTTCGTGAACAACACCCACTGCGAGAAGTCGGTGAGTAGGGCTTCTTTGGTAGTGGTTGTATACACGTGGCCATGTGAGAGCATTTCGAGAGGGAGTTGACTGTCCGCACTCTAGGCCGTATCAAGGCATTTGGGGGCAATTATGTACTATATATGATGGTAAATTACTCTATGGAAGAGTTAATATGACTACATAAATACTCAGCTTATCCCACCTATTGCAAAAGTTAAATACCCATCTGCCTAAAAACGACAAGAATGTTGATCTGTGAATCATCAAGTTCTAGGATCGAATATAAACATCAGCTTCTATTATTGGATCATAGTTGAGTATACAATATTAGTGTTAGGTGTAGAGTGCTAAGTGAAAATGATGATTTTATTAATATGAGGTGATCATAACGTGAGATAAGTGGGCATCTAGTATAACGGTTATCATATGAGTAGATTATTAAAAGCTAAGAACACTCAAATAAATACTTGGCATCAGTCCATAAAGTCATAGAATGTTATTCCGAATTGCATAGAGAGATTCTAGCTTCGTTGTTAGAGTATTCACAAGAATAATCATGATATAAGTTCAAGAGCTTTAGTTGACATGCATTAAAATCAGTCTCTATAGTACAAGTGCATTCATTATTTACCAACTCTTATATCTGGGACATACTATTCTATAAACATCATTCAGTTTTCTTTGTATCTTTTTTTCACTTTTGCTGTCATTAAATTGTAAGTTTTCCCTCGTGTTGACACAAAGTATTTCAAAATAGGTAGATACTTATTTGCGTTAGATTTCCTGTTATTATTTGTTCGTGTATTTCCTACTCAAATTACAAGTATATTTCGCAGTATTTGAATGAATTTAACTTCAACAATCATACATTTTTCATAACAAACGTGAAACTTTAAAATTAGTAGCCGTTTGTTGAATCAAAAGCACACTAATCTTCCAGTTAAAGAAACTGCTGTTTAGAGTCGTGTTTTTTTTTACTATTACTCTTGTTTGTCGCAGCAAAATCTAACGTACTTATCTAGTAATAAGGTAACTAATTGCTACTCGTTAACTCTACGAAGGTTTGTGTACTAAGTAAACATGTATTAACCATACTACCGTGTTAGTTAAATTAGTATGGTTAAGGTGAGTTTAGACCTGATCCAAAGATTAAGAATCGAGCGGCCAGGCCACTGGCTCGTTATTTTACACTTACTATTGTAGATATGAAAATAACCCATTGTGTCATTGAATAGAAATAAAGAGAATTCAGCGAAGAAAATTTTCTTAACGACATAAAACATAATTATGTAACCACGACCAAGTCCATCAAGTAAGTATTAAAGTATGCATAGGAATCTTTCTTCGTGGGGTTTTTCTGCACGACTAGCTTTATAAAAGTTTTTACACTTACATTTTATATCTTTTTTATTACAGATGACTCACATATTTGCTAAAGGATAATATGAATTCGAGTTATTTATTTAAATTACCGTTTACATGTCCATCACAGTTCCCTACCTTCACACGTTCAATTATCAGCGTGGTGTTTTTTGGGAGCGATCATTATTCATTACCTCATTTACACGCCTTGGAAGAGCGTCAATCTCAGCATAAAGATATTCGATTATTGTTTGTGGTTACTACCTCGGATAAAACTCCTGTTAGATATCATTGTATTCAGAATAAAATAGGTGTGTATACCACACAAAGCTTTTTCCATGGTTTAAAATGAAACCAGTACCAAACAGTTTTATTGATATTATTTTAAAATAATTTTTCCTGATAAAAAATTTTACTTTTTATTTAACCCATTTGCCAGGTACAGGTTTATCTACTAGGTATTAAACTTGACTATTTGTATGAAGGCTAGTGATTATATTGCATATCTACCTAAATTAAAGTAGTAGTGCAATTCGAACCTACAATTAGTCATTATTCATGAAGCTTACGTTCATTAATGATTGATTTCCCATAAAACTCAAGTTTCATATTAGGTTGGTAACTGAAGGCACTTGATATCAATCCCTGAGCCTAGTGTTTTCATCAGTTGAAACTTGTTCCTACTGGTGTATCTCCGGACGAATGCTCTCCGTGGAGTGTTTCTCTGTGACCTAGTGTCAATGATGGAGATGTTACATTCAAGCCATCTAATTTCAACACAATGTAAACCATGTACCTTTAGAAATTTTAGACTATTTATTTTATCTTAACCATAATGTTTGTTATAATATACCATCATAGTTTTATTCAAGTCTTGTATAAGTAAAACGTTACTCACTGTCATTTGAACATAATAAACAGTTATACCATAGATCTATGACATTTCTATTCACTATAACTTTTCGTTAACTCACGAAGAGTAGTGAAATGAAATTTTGTTGAAATAATGACATACAATCAGTAAGAATTATAAGCAATGCATATTCATATACACTGCTAGAATTACTAACCGTTTTAATTTCTTCACATAGCTTAAATAATATTACTGAGGTAGAAGTGTATATTATGATTGTTTAGTTTACATTTAGTTGTCAGGATGGATTGGTAATCATGATCTAACCCGTTTACCACATACAGATCCATGTGCTCAACTTTAAGCTACACTTAAAATGCGAGAGCTAATCGCTCAGGCTTTCAACCTTTAGCCACTAAATCCTTGGTTTGAACCCCATTCTACCTACCTAGTTTTCGGTGACCGATTAGTATCATTACCCCTCGTATTTAAAATGTGGTTCGTACTTCAGCACTTGGTGAATGAGTTAATAAGAATAAAAAATGATTTATACTACCCGGTTGTCCAAACCAAAGTAAGTGAAGTGGGATTCGAAGCTCCAATGTAGTGGTCCAAAGTTCAATACCCTAACCATTACCCTACGGGTTGACACACACTGAAGAATCCGAAAGTCCTGTATTTAATCCTAGGTGAGGCTGCTATTTCTCACCACGCTAAAGAGTCTCAAACGAGGATAAAACAGATTCTCAGTTATCCCTGATGTATACCCGCGGTGAAAACTGGCTTTAATTGATGTGATTACTTCTTTTAAAAGAAAGTTCTTGGAAGGTACGCGACGTTAATCTTAAGTTGAAAGTAATAAATCAAAATTACAATAAATCCATGTAATCCTTTCTTTTTTCGAACCCATCTTCTAATTTCCATGAAAAGATCACGTGATTTGGCCACGCACGCTTACGAATAATTCAATAATCATCAACGCTGTTAGTCAACGAATAGATAAATTGCAAAATATTAATTCCTTGGATAAGCCAGAGAAATTGTTAGGCGTAATTGTTTCATTTGGCCGGTTTCTACCCTCATCACTATTGTCTTTATTCAATTATGGATGCTTTAATATACATCCATCATTATTACCAAGGTGGAAAGGTTCTAACCCATTATTATATACTTTATTAGCTGATGATAAAGTTACTGGGATTACCTTATTCCGATTGAATCCGATGCATACAACTTTCGACTCTGGATCTGTTTTGTATCAAAAGTCCATTCGCCTACCTTGTAATAAGAATACAATGTTAACACCGAATCAATTAGCTACATATTTAATGCCACACAGCATTAATGCTATGTTTGAGGTAAGATCTAGTTGGATTCGGTTTCATACTTTACAATCCAACATCTTAACTAATTATCTTTATATTTATGCTGTTATATTCCAGTCGAGATTATGAATTGTTAGACGTCACTCTGACTACCTATGTTCCACATTTCCAACAGGATAGATTTTCGTCTAACCAGTGTCATGAAATTGTATAACATATTTTGAGTCGTACTAACCTTTATGACCTATTCAGTGTTTTCAAACAACAAACTGAATGGTTTAATTTTGTACTTTTATGTCGTCTGACTTTAGCTGTTCAAGCATTGAGAACTATAGAGCATTGAATATCTGTTTCATTCTGTTATGGGACTCAGCAGCGTGTATCCACTGTCCCACCGATGATTGAACCGAAGACCTACTGGTCCCATAACGAGCACTTAACCGACATGATTACAGTTAAGTTTTCAGCTAAGTCTGTACTGTAGTGCATTTAAAGTCAAAGAATACTCAGGCTTAACGACAAGATAGTCCTAAAGATTGTGGACAATACGTCACTCAGTAAAGTTTTTTTTCAGAAGTTCATCAATAGAACAGAAAGCACTTACATAAGTGTACCTTCTTATTGATGGTCAATTAGTAACAATTTTCGGATTTACTGAAATGGTAGAGGTTGTAGCTCAGAAGACGAGTTTTGGAACCATCATGTTCTATATGCTAGATAGTTTGGTTGTCTACCTTCCTCTCTTTCCGAGCATAAACATTATATCTTTACAATTGATTGATCACTGGGTGGTGAACTGATGCTCTATTACGGACCTGAGACACATGGCATTGATCACCATCCAGTGATCAATCAATTGTAAATATATCAGTCCTACAGATCAGTCGCGGTCCGGTCAGCTCAGTAGTAACATCTCTAACTGTGAAACTGGTTGACATGGGGTCGAATCCGCCAGGGGGCATCAGTTCCTTCAAGACTATAGGTACACATTGATAACGAGTGCCAGCTAGCATGAGACCTATGTCCAGGGTTTCTTGTTGACTACATCCAACCACCACATTAGAACTTCCTTATCAAAGAATGTAGGATCGCCAAAAGTTAAGCTTATATTCGAAAGCTCAGTCGAAGAAGAGATATGTACTCCAAATAAATAAATAAGAATTAAACCAAAAGGTTTGCTATTAATTAGCAAAAAAGCACACAGCTGTTTCCAGCAGTAATATCAACGATTAACGAAAATAAATTAAGCATTCTAGAGATTAAACAAGCCTTTCAAAATAAACAAGATTTTAGTGACACATATGAGAGAGGTTAAAAGAAGGAAGGGGGTTATAAAATGCTACTACCAATAGAAATTTAAATTAAGACATTGAAATAAAATCATAAATGAATGAGAAAAGTGGCTCACTGCGACAATCCAACTATGGACTTATTGCACACAAGTCGTGAAAATTATATAAAATACTCAAACTATTGGTTATTTTTAAGTAGTGTACCGTAACAAAATACAAAAAACAAGCAATGGATGAAGTCAATGTAAAACACTTGTCACATCATATGTCATCTATCCTAGTATCATCATTACAATATTTATATTATTGGTTTTATAGGTCATTTTATATCCTAACTTACCATATTTAGTTGGTGTTGATCAATCGGTGATTTCAGCGAAATTTCAACTTCCAATAACGTATGCTCGTAAACCTCAACCCCACATGGGTTTGATAAATTGGCAGAAACAATCAGCTGAAGATATAATTCGATATTGGCATGCATTTCAAGGCACTTGTGTAAATTTATTTACGGAGCTTTGTTTATTGAACATTGTACAAGAAGAGAAAGAGAATAATTCTTTAATTGCAAATTTTCGTCTATCCGAATGTCCATTGTTGGTACCACACGTTGATCATGTCTCTAACAATAACAATGGACAGAATAATGCTGAAGCTGCCGATATATACTGTCCAAATTATGAGTCCAAAGTTTGTGGTGTTATAATATTTATTTTTAAATTCATTTCAACTGCGAACTGACGTTAGTTGGAGAAGACTGTTGAAAACCAGTAAACATTAGACAGTTGTTTCCTTCTAGCTTGAAACTACTCAACAGTGCGCCCTCACTACCTCACCAGTCAAATTGAACCTAGCACCTCCAAATCTTGCAACAGAGTAAATGGCTAATATGCTTGACTTTCAACCATTAAGTCTCAGATTCGAAGCCCCTAAAAAACCTACTTCATTTCAGTTATTCAGTTAGAACAAACCTGTACTTGGTAAATAATTAAGGTATATAAATTCAACAAATTAAAATTAGGTCACGATATTTACACGTAAATCAGTAAACATCACGATACAGTATCCAATAAACCATATTTCCAAATTCAATCAATTTCCAAGTTATTATGATTATTCTTAGGTGATGGATAGTCTTGATGGTATAACGGAGAAATAAAATTAGTTTCTGTTTACCAAGTTGTACTACTATTATACAATAATATGACTGAGAATTGGTATTATATTACCGCTAGACTGGATACGCGATCGATTGATATGATATACACAAACTGGAACACATTATACCAGACAAAATATTCACGACCAAATCTTTAGAATCCGAGGATAAGCTAGACAATACTTTATTCAGCACAATTACCAGCAGTTTACACTCAGTGAGTCTAGAGTATAAATCAATGATAAAAAGAAAATTCGATATTAAATAGTTAGTAAGTTTTGTCTGTCTGCTCGTGCTCGGTAGCCAATTAAATTTTACTTCCAATAGTCACACATTAATTGACATGAAAATACGTAGATTTGACATACTACTTAAAAATTTCTATGAGACTGATGTAAATTGTTAATTAAAAAAAAACACAATACACTAACTGTTATTTGATTTGTATACCAGTAGTTTAGTCGATAAGTCATTTAATTTCCAACCAGTTAGTCAAAGTCAAGTCTATAAGCCAATGTACACAAACTTTTACTTGAATTCTGAACCACTAATAAAGTTTCCCTTAAGGTTATAACTGAAAATATTACTCAAACAATTGTCAATCTATCCTCTTTTAAATCATTTTACGTGAATATATAATTTTTGTTATTTCGTTGTTCATGAATGATTTTGATACTCAATAATTAATATGTACCATATAATTTAAGACATTAAAGAGAAACAATGTATTTGTAAAATCTCAGTGAATGAATTTGAAGTCAATCCAACGTTTCACCTAGCAATCTGGTCCAAACTTTTTCAAGAAAATATAACCAAACATCAAAATTATCGAATATAAATAGGTACATGGTTCTCCGGTTCACTGTATACTGAATAGGTCATTCAATCAATGTCTCTTACACAATAATGAAATACCTACTTTAAACATTGTTAACGTTGATTGGATGACCTATTCAGTATATAGTGAACCGAAGAACCATGTACCTATTTATATTCGATAATTTTGATGTTTGGTTATATTTTCTTGAAAAAGTTTGGACCAGATTGCTAGGTGAAACGTTGGATTGACTTCAAATTCATTCACTGAGATTTTACAAATACATTGTTTCTCTTTAATGTCTCACATCAACCCGAGACCCAAATACTGTGAAACTATTCGATCACATTTAGACGAAAGTTCTTATTTAACACAAGTAATTTCAAGGTATTTGAGCATTACTAACTAATGGAAATTTACAGAAAATTTGGTTGAATAAGCTTAGCTAAATAGAATTTCTTGATCTACGGAGAATATTGTTTTCTTTATAGTATTATGAAATTGCATATGTAATGTACTAATAATTAAACAATTATTACTTAATTAGATGATTTACTATGAGTTGGCATCAACTATATAATATTATTGAAAATCAAGAAGTTGTGGATAATGGTTTCGTCTTTATTTGCAACACTCCAACAGTGCCGACGCACTACTCGTAAAAGAATCAAACTTTTAAGTTTCATGACAACGACAATTTGTGTTATTTTATAATTTACATCACGGTCTGACTATGGATAGATAACCTCTGGGAACCAGAAATCAGTGGACAGTTATTTTGTCCTAGGACTAGAACTTATCAATAGTGTCTATCCATGATCACCCCAATTATCGAATCTAAGACCTTCAGACCACTGATTTAATATCCGGTCCACTTCTAGCTTCAGTTAACTCTCAACATTACGCGAATAACAAAGTCCTATCACATTGATGGCTATTAAATAGTGTTACTCCTGACATGGTTGAACTCTACTGGTCACAGTTGGTAATATAAAGGATATCTAATTTAAATAGGCTTTTTTATTATTACTTATGTTATTTTTCATAGGTTATGGACTATCTCAACGAGGCTTCAGTTCTTCTGCATCAACCACGTACATCATCATTACCACCTGGAAGTATTGTATATTTACGTTCACAAAAAGATGTGAAGCATCATTTAATACCATACACTTTCATTGCTTGTAAGCCAAACAATTCTTCACCTATTATAACCCAGATTAATTCTGTATCATGGTTAGCTGTTAAAAGCTTTTTAGTGAATTGGCCTAATTCATCAACGAAGAGTCGTCATTTAACAGCTATTGATTTATATAATGGTTATTTCTTAAAATATATTCAATCACTATCATCGACACTCCCGATATCTGTAGTAAATGAAGGGCGACATTCTCAACAATTAGGTGTACGTTATTTTGGTGAGTTTCGGTCTAACTCTTCGTCTACATCATCTTTACTAAGTGGTAATAATAATGATGGTAATACCTTAATAAAACCTTGGAATGAATTAACACCGACTATTCTACCTTCTGATTTACAATCATCATCTGATATGTCAATCATTGTAAAAAATGTACATAGTTGATAGTTTAAATAAATGTTTTTAATAGTAAAAACAACTTGTTTTATTCTTTTCTCTTGGCTAAAAAACTTTTATTCATTGAAAGTAAGACTTGATTAATATACATAGAAAAGTTAATAATCTCTTATCTATTAAAATGAACTGAAGTGCGATTAAATGCAGGGTATTAGGTTAAGATGGCTTACCAGTTAGTGAGGTTATGAATCTTTATCGACAGAAATAGCTACATATGTCCAAATACCATCCACTTCAACTCTTGATGCTTGCTCACATGGAAGTACGCTGATACAAAGACATAATGTCAGTCCATGAAGTCAATTAGCGTTCGTCTGAGCCCTGTTGGTCGGTGCAGACTACTTATTTGTGATCCATGGAATTAACGTAATCAATGGCTGCTTACGTTGAATGACATATCTCAATCGGTTGCAATGACGCAAATTCACTCACTATTTGCTTTCCCCTTAATATTCAGTTTTAAAATTGTCCCATACATTTATTCTATAGATTCATTCTTCTCGAATTAAATAGTCTTTTCTTGATATTTCCTACTGTTATTGGTACTTTTACTACTCCTTTTTCTCTAATGCTTATCTTTGTAATTTCATCTCGCTATGATTATGTAGTGTGTTAGGTTAAACCAATACGTGTATGTACCAGGTTTTACCTTGCTTATGACTAACATTAAAATTAAATCCATCTGGAAAATCAGATTTAGAGTAAATAGCACTGAACTTATTTGACATTGGGTTTTACAAGGTTTGTATAATTAATGGTCAGTACTGCTTGTAAACAAAAATACTTAATTTTCCAGTTCCTATTATGATTTGATTCTAGTCTAGATAACTATTAAAAACCATGAAACATTGGGTATATGTTTCACCTTAGTACGGAACTTATCAACAGTGCACAACCGGTGACTTGGCTAAATTTAGAGACGAGAACCTTCAACACTCACAACAATCATGCTACCCTTAAGGGTTATTAAGTTGACTTCTGATAGTTGCTTTTAGTCAACTCTCTAGATTGCTCAGTGTCGTGATATAAACAGAAAATTGGGTGATTTCCGAAAAATTATTATACTAATAACTTCATTTGTTCAATATATGTATTTAAAGCTCTCCTCAAGCTCTTATATTTGAAGAATGAATTCCACATTGATATAAAGAAACAAATATATTACTATTTATATTCTTATCGCTTAGTTACTTAGTAACTGAGTTACTTCTTTTCGTTCTCCATTTATCGTAAGCTTTCGTTAGACTCGCTAACTTTTATCATACTACTTACTATTCGTAATTCACATCCAATCAATTACTTACAACTTACCTTATTCTCTACGTATAATTACTATTTTTTGATTTAGGGTGTGGTGTTGTCCAGTATATTGGTATATAAATTCACATCCGCTTGAAATATATAATAGAAACTGCTTTTTCATTTCTCTTTGAACTCAAGGGAGACGATAGAGAAAGATTCGAATAGCTGACCTATAGGAGCTTGTTTTGCGTCGTCTCAAGATTAGTAGTACAGTTCAGATGTGTAATTGGTCTAGGATACTGGGCTATAGAAGAAATAGTAGACGCGACAATAGAAAAAAAATTGAAATCGGAATTGGTGACTTTAGCATGTGATATCGATTAGCATCTAAAATCATAATAAATATGAAGCACACTGTTTGTGTATGATGATTAATAACACATTGTACCGGACTCCTTGAATCAAAGTAGTTAGTATTAAGATTTGATACAATGATCACCTATTGATTGGAAACTGATTGTTTTAACTTATAGACTACTAGTACTGTACAATAAGAAATAAATTAGTTACAAATGAAATGATTTTCTGATTACGACCAACGCCCCCAAATGCCTCGGTATGGCCGAGAGTGGGGAGAACCCGCCCTCCCTCTAGAAATGCTCTCACACGGCCACGTGTATACAGCCTCTGCCAGGGAAGTCCTACTCACTGCCTTCTCGTGGCAGGGGTGTTGTTTACGAAAGTGAGAGGATGAAAAGCGAATGTCTGGCGTTCTAACCGGATCCCAAACTAATGGGCTCCAGTATCCTGAGGGAACAAATGGCATATGAACCAATCGTTGGGCACCGGCTACCATGAGACTTATCTCCTCACGATGCTCCACTGCCTTGTGGGTCAGACCTTTAGGTCAAAGACTTAGGGTGTGGCCCCCCAAGAAAACCACCTGCTTCGATCTGGGCACCCGGGAAGTATCACATCCCACACACAAATAAAATGAAAATGACGATATTTACTGAAAATTCTATTCACGCTTCCATTAACAGTCAAACAATCCACATTATTATTATTATTTACTACGTCATTTATTCACTCGTTTTTATTCCCACTTTATGCATCCTTATTTTTCGACTTATACAGCAGCTCGCCTATGGTGGAAACTCGGTTCTATTTAAACGTTCTGGAGTCACTGCCTGGTTGAAAATTGTATGCGACCACCAAATACGAATACTGAAGCAGTTTTTCTGAAACCACGTGCACCATTCAAACTAGCTACCTTCAACGTTCGCACACTTATGCAGGTCGGACAACAGATAGGACTGGCTATGTCTTAGGAAATTCTTAATATCGACGTTTGTTATTTATTTTAACACATAGATATTGGTACAAGGAGGCACCAAATATATATGCGCCACACAAATCTCATTTGATATGTGTGAGGGCTGTGATACTGCCCGGGTGCCCAAACTAAAGCAGGTGGTTTTCTTAGGGGGCCACTCCCCGAGCCTTCGACCTGAAGGTCTGACCCACAAGGCAGTGGAGCATCGTGAGGAGATAAGTCCCATGGAAGCCGGTGCCCAACGATTGGTTCATATGCCATTTGTTCCCTCAGGATACTGGAGCCCATTAGTTTGGGATCCGGTTAGAACGCCAGACATTCGCTTTTCATCCTCTCACTTTCGTAAACAACACCCCTGCCACGAGAAGGCAGTGAGTAGGACTTCCCTGGCAGAGGCTGTATACACCTGGCCGTGTGAGAGCATTTCTAGAGGGAGGGCGGGTTCTTCCCACTCTCGGCCGTACCAGGGCATTTGGGGGCGTTTGTTGTCTATCCGAGACCCGTATTCAAGACTCTGGTCAAGTACTACAAATTCGCTCTCCATCTGTCGCTTTAAAAAGCTTGTCTTACGCACGTTTATCCTGGACCCTGTGGCAACTTCGTCTGGTCTTGTTGGCCTTGGTGTCGCACTAAGCGTCAGAGCTGAGGCAACACTAATCGACTGGATCCCCATTAACAGTCGGTTATGTGCTGTTAGATTAGAAATTTCTATCAAAGTGAGAAATCGGCGTGAGGAACGATGTCTTTTCGTCATCTCCGTCTATGCTCCGACAGATTGCAGCTCGGATGCAATCAAGGATGAATTCTACAAACAGTTAACTGTTCTTCTCCAGAAAGTGCGTTCGACAGATATTGTAGTACTAGCCGGAGACTTGAATGCTCAGGTCGGGCGTCTAAGTAGCCGATGGGAACTTGTTGGTCGCAGGACAGATAACGGGGACCATCTACTGCAACTGTACACAGACCACAACCTGTTTCTGGCTAGCACTAACTTCCGACACAGTCATCGCCGATGTGCCACCTGGTGTCCTCCCTCTGCATCTCAAGCCTGGACTCAGATTGATTACATCGCGATGAGCTACCGCTGGCGTGGTTGTGTACAAGACTGCCGCTTCTGTTGGAGTGCCTATCTGGACTCTGACCATGCCTTGGTCTGCGCCAATCTTACCTTACTTCTCAGTGGACAACGAAGTGACCGCCACCAACGGATTGATGTTAGCAAGCTGGTTGCAACTTCTGTTGCAAGTAAGTATCGAACCGAGCTAGTTTCTAGGCTAGCTACCATTCCACCGAAAAGTATAGATGAGCATTGGTTGCAATTGCATGACGCCAGAAAAATGGCGGGTACAGTCAGTTGTGGGTTCGCGAAACGTCCCGCTTATAAGCACTGGGTTTCTTCTGGTTCCTTACGACTCATTGAGACCCATCGATCTACTCCAGGTGACCGTGAGTTTGACCACAAACGAAGGCTGTTACGCAATGAAATCGGGCAAAGCTTGCGTAAGGACCGAGAAGCCCGGTGGTCGGAGCGTGCTAATGAGCTGAAAGCAGCAGCTGCATCTGGTAACTACCGGAAGCTCTCTCCAACTAATCCGGGCCACTGGCAGCAAGAAATCCGGTGTGAGCGAAACAACCTGCGAGGATGATGGGATGCCAATCACTAACATCCATCGACGTCTCGGACGATGGAACGAATTCTTCGAAGAGCAGTTCAACTGGCCTTCTGCTCCGGCAACATCGGTCAGACTGTCCTGCCCTCCATGGCAGGTGACGACTGATCCACCAAATGAGGCGGAAGTCCTCAAGGAACTCCAACTCTTAGACCGCTACAAATCACCGGGCCCAAATAACTTACCTCTGGCTCCTTTTTAAGATGGTGGTGACTTTCTGGTTAGGGAACTGATTGTGCTGTTTACAAAAGTCTGGGAACTAGAGAATGTAACAACGTCATGGAATGAGTCGATAGTTGTCCCTATCTTTAAAAAGGGTTCACGTCGTTTCTGTGACAACTATCGGGGAATAAGTCTACTTCCGATTGCGTCCAAGCTATTGGCTTCCGTCATACTTAGTAGGTTGTTCAAAACCCGAGGAAGATTGACTCACGAGGAGCAGGCTGGGTTTCGTTCTGGTCGAGGATGTATTGATCATATCTTCACCCTTCGCCAAATGTTAGAACACCGCCATACTTATCACAGGCCAACAATCGTAGTGTTTCTTGACATCAGGGCTGCCTTCGATTCGTTGGACAGGACTGTTCTCTGGGATTGTCTATTGAAGAAGGGCGTGCCTGAGAAGTTTATTAACATCCTAAAAGCCATATATACAAACACCTCAGGCAGAGTGAGGGCATACAACCACCCCTCTCCATTGTTCCATTCAAGTAGTGGGGTTAGGCAGGGTTGCCCAATCTCACCATTCCTCTTCAACTTTGCCATCGA